GAAGCCCCCCAATATTGTCAGGTTTATAGGGGCCTGCCGAAAATCTATCGTCTGGTGCATTGTTACAGAGTATGCAAGGGGAGGGTCATTGAGGCAGTTTTTGACAAAGAGGCAGAACCGAGCAGTGCCCTTGAAATTGGCAGTTAAGCAGGCGTTGGATGCTGCAAGGGGAATGGCTTACGTGCATGGGCTTGGGTATATTCACAAAGATTTGAAATCAGATATCCTTCTAATTTCTGCCGATAGATCCATCAAGATCGTTGATTTCGGAGTCGCTCAAATTGAGGTCAAAACAGAGGGAATGACACCAGAGACAGGGACTTACCATTGGATGGCCCCGTAAGTTTATCTATCTGTGTATATGTTTCTCTCTATTCTGCTTCCTTTGATAAGTATCTCAAATCATTTCTGCTGGTAATTCATTTTATTCCGGAAACCTCTGTGTGTGTTGAAGCATGTGATGAAGAAGCTAATCCGTATGGTTCTCTCGTTTGCTGGGCTTGCGTTTTTTCGTACATCTATGTGGAAAACTCGTTCAATTATGTTACATGTCTGTTTGAAAGTCTTCTATATAGCCAGTATTTGTTAGTTTTTATGTTATAAATCACATGAGCCGCATAGACATGCAAGCACATATCATTAGTCTTCTCCTCATTTGATGGAAGAAATAGTATCTTGCACATATTATGCTCATGTTGAAGAATCTTTTTGCTTCAAAAGTTAACTTCTTCTGTATCCCTCTAGCGTTGCAACGGATTGATTCTTCTCAGTAGATTCATCATGCCATGCATTGACCACTTTGAGGAATTCCTTAGGACCATATAAACCACCAAAACTTGCTTGTGCTTTTCTTTTCTGGTACATGGTCATTGTTTTGTCAACTGGACTTTCTTTTTATTCTGGTGATATGTCATTATGCCAACTTGAATTCCCCCTTTTTCATAAGATTTGTCATTTGGGAAATCCACTGGTCATCCCCAGTAATGGTGGAATCCTGAGCTCATCCAAGTTGAAAGAAGCATATTGAATATGATGAGGCATAATCCTATCTTTTTTTCTTTCTCTGTTTCTGTTTGACTAACTAAATGGTCTAAACCCCGGAGTTGGGGTGTTCAACAAATCACTTCACCTATGGGTTTAAACAATGAACACTCTTAGCAACTTATTCCGGCAATGAAGGGCGGCAATGAGAATGCCGCCCAGTACAAATTGGGGATATTTTGAAACTCCGGAAATGAAGAACACATCTCTGCTCGCCTGTGCCTGTCTTGCTTTGCTATGTAATCTATGTAGTTTCAGTTTGTTATTCAGTCTTGGATGTGACATTTACGCTTCGTGAATAGTTTTGGTAATCATCATTGTCGAACCAAATTAGGATCGTTTAGTTTAATGAATTATGGGCAGTAGCAGAACGAAAACGTACGTCGTGAACCGGGCAAAAAGGACGAGATTCCTCATTGGAATAACCTGCTAATATACCATTTTCAAACGTTTTATTAGAAGTCAGCTTTTAGAATGGGGGAATCTGATGTCTTTTTGTTATACCTTTCTTTGTGATAGAATAGTTGTGTAATTTTACTTTGTAGTTGAAGTTGTTGTCCAAGTTGCTCAGCCATGACATAAGCTGAAAATTTGGGAACTATTACATATCCATGGGAGTTTGACAGTACAAGTTGTCTTTAGGTACGTGATGAAAAACTTGACTGGTTTGATCCTCTGCACTTTATGCTTGTTTAGATACTGACAGGGATAGTGTTACTTTAAGAGAGTGTCGATCTCTAATTTGATTCCGAATCTTACAATGTGATTGCCATATTGCAGAGAGATGATCCAGCACAAGCCGCACACGCAGAAGGTGGATGTATACAGCTTCGGCGTAGTGTTATGGGAGTTAATAACAGGCACGGTCCCATTCCACAACATGACGGCGGTTCAGGCAGCGTTTGCAGTGGTGAACCGAGGAGACAGGCCGCCGATCCCTAGCGATTGCCTTCCCGTGCTTAGCGACGTCACGGCTCCTTGTTGGGACGCAAACCCCGAGATCCGACCACCCTTCTCGGAGATTCTGACGATGCTTGAACGAGCAGAGACTGAGGTATTGACCACATTGGACTGAGTCGGCGAACATCATAAAGAAACAAGCTTTTTTACATTTGTGTTTTCGAATTTCTTGATTTGATTTGGTTGGGATATGAACTCTCCCTAATAATATTGTTTTTTTTAAATTGTTTTACCCATATGTAAATGCTTGTTCTTTATGCAATATATATGCATATTGTTGGGACGCAAACCCCGAGATCCGACCACCCTTCTCGGAGATTCTGACGATGCTTGAACGAGCAGAGACTGAGGTATTGACCACATTGGACTGAGTCGGCGAACATCATAAAGAAACAAGCTTTTTTACATTTGTGTTTTCGAATTTCTTGATTTGATTTGGTTGGGATATGAACTCTCCCTAATAATATTGTTTTTTTTAAATTGTTTTACCCATATGTAAATGCTTGTTCTTTATGCAATATATATGCATAAATGATATGATATAGGGCTTTTATAATATATATATATATATATATATAGTGATGATGTGTGTGTGAATGGACGTGGAAATGATATGGTTTGCATCTGCAGTCTGACTGCTGAAATGCCGACAAAGGGGGAATCATGTATTGGGGCACAACCAAACGGATGATCTTTTTGTGCCATCATTAGTATCGAATAATCTATTTTCTATACAATATTAATAATATTAAACACACGATTTAAAATAAAATCTGTGCTTCTCAGTAAAAATGGTACATTAAATTTTATGATAATAGTACGAATCTATATATTTAGACCATTAATGTTTTGCAACATAATATGCAGAAACTGAATAAATATTACGTGCAAAATAATAATAATAATAATAATAACCTTAAGACAAGCGTGAACAGAAAAGACTGTTGCCGTTAGCTTTTAAAGCGGCGACGCGCTGCCTCATTCGACGACCAGTCATCTGCCACGTGTTGTGTTTCTATTGCGCGTAGAATACACTCTCCGTCCGCGCGAGTGCGGCGGGAAAGCTGTCCCAATAAAGGAATTTCGCCAGCAAAATTAATAAAGGACGGGGAAATTTTAAATAAAATTAAATAGCGACACAAAATAAAAAAAATAGAAATAGAAATTTAAGAATAAAAATGAAAAAGAAGGAAAATGGAAAGCTGGGAAAGTAAATGGGAGACGGCGACTGACTCTTATTGCCCTTCTTCGTAATCGTCTTCCTCTTCTCTGGGTTCTTACTGGGGATTTGATCGGAGGTAAACGCTTGGATTCCCGATTTGATTACCCAGGGCTTGGGGTTCTTCGATCGCAGGCTTTTTTCGCCATCATCGTCATCCTTCTCCGGTGATATTTCTCATCTGGTTGTCGAGGGCAAGGGTTTGGAGTTTGCTTCATGTGATTCCCGCGCATATCTACTGTTTTCTGGTGTTCGGGAGCTCTAGGTAAACACTAATTTCTTGCTTTAGCTTCTCGCGTCCTGGAATCGTTGGATCTGTGTGTTTGCTTCACTTTTACTGGTGTTTGCTTCAGTTCTTAGGAGTTTGTTTCCATCAATTTGTGGAAATGGAAGTTTTTGGAGGAGTTATTTAACTCTGTAGCTCCATCAGTGGTTTGTCTTTTAGTACTTCGCTGTTCTTAAATCTCCTGCCGAAAAGAATCGAATTTTATTGTGAAGATTTCACCTAGTTTATTTTGGGTACTTGTTTTCCGCTGTTACGACGACCGTGAAGCTGCTGCCAAGGATCTGATTCCATTTTCTGCCTGAGAATCTGATATTTCACTCTTCTGCTCATGCGTGTCTTTCAGTTTAGGGCGTAGATGGTGTAGAATAACGCAATATTCGAGACGAGTCGAGGACTCCTGAAGCAAAACTGTGACTCTTTGTCTTCCAGGCTCTTGCTCTTTCTTCAGAGGTAAGGTTTTTTCCCATAAAGAAATGGTTTTGTAGTGGGCTTCTCGGGCGTGAAGGTGAAAGAAGATAACTTTACGGTAGCGAAAATTGCTTCCGTTAGGAAGATCTTGGATGCTTCAGATGTTCAAATGCATACAACAAAACATTCCTTTTATGTCTTTGCTTTAGGGGTACACGTTCAAGTGATTACACCGTTAGAGGGCTTTCGTCTTCTGAGTTAAAAAAGGAATCTACATGTGATTTGCAGGTTGATCGGACTCTTGACACGTAACACGGGATCGAAAAAAATGCTCGAAGGGCAGAAGTTCAATGTGCTTGCTGTTGGGAATCACAACAACGACAACAATTATTATGCTTTCACCCAAGAGTTTTATCAGAAGCTCGGCGAGGGTACAAACATGTCCATCGACAGTCTACAGACAAGCAATGCTGGAGGATCTGTCTCGATGTCTGTTGATAACAGTAGTGTCGGCTCTAGCGATTCTCTAATTGGCCATCCGGGTCTGAAGCCTTTGCGCCATGTCTACTCCCTGTCTGTTGGGCAAAGCGTCTTTCGTCCAGGAAAAGTTACACATGCACTCAACGACGATGCGTTAGCTCAAGCTTTGATGGACAGCCGGTTTCCAACTGAGGGACTGGCGAACTATGAAGAATGGACGATAGATTTGAGGAAACTTCATATGGGTCCTGCTTTCGCTCAAGGGGCTTTCGGTAAATTATATAAGGGGACATATAACGGAGAGGATGTTGCGATTAAGATACTTGAGAGGCCAGATAACAGCCCGGAAAAGGCACAGGCCATGGAACAGCAGTTCCAGCAGGAGGTCTCAATGCTTGCGAATTTGAAGCACCCAAACATCGTGAGATTTATCGGAGCATGTCGCAAGCCGATGGTGTGGTGCATTGTAACTGAATATGCCAAGGGAGGTTCAGTTAGGCAGTTCCTGACAAAGAGACAAAATCGAGCTGTGCCCTTGAAACTTGCAGTTAAGCAGGCATTGGATGTTGCCAGGGGAATGGCTTATGTGCACGAGCGTTACTTCATCCACCGGGATTTGAAATCAGATAACCTTCTGATAGCGGCTGATAAGTCCATTAAGATTGCAGATTTCGGGGTAGCACGGATTGAGGTCCAAACCGAAGGGATGACACCAGAGACTGGGACTTACCGATGGATGGCCCCGTAAGTCATATATACGACTCTTTATTTCTTGGTTTCCCTCTCTTGCTTTTCTTGTGCCTTCCTTTTCGGCTTGCCCTCTATTACCAGTATCTCTCGTAATTCCTTGCTCGCTTCACCATTGCAGAGAAATGATCCAGCATAGGCCGTATACACAGAAAGTGGATGTGTATAGTTTTGGAATTGTCTTGTGGGAGTTGATCACAGGTCTGCTACCGTTCCAAAACATGACGGCTGTACAGGCGGCATTCGCTGTGGTGAACAGAGGAGTACGTCCGAACATCCCGAGTGATTGCCTCCCAGTGCTGAGCGAGATCATGACCCGCTGCTGGGATTCCAATCCCGAGGTTCGCCCGTCTTTTACTGAGATAGTCAAAATGCTCGAAGCTGCTGAAACCGAGATAATGACGACGGTGCGGAAAGCCCGTTTCAGATGTTGCATGAGCCGACCGATGACCATTGACTAAATTTCTAAAACAGGAAGAAGAAGAGTAGAAGGAAGAAGGTAAAAGGAAAAAGAAAAAAAAAACAGGGGAGTGTTTTTAAGAGTGGCTTTAGATATTTGTGTGTGTATCTATCTATATATATACATACATTATATATCATGAATGTATTTCATTTCCAAGATAGGAGGATAAGTAACCCATTTTAGACTACTACTGATTTTCTAGCTTTTGTATTAAGGATTAAACAAAAGGGAGAAGAAAATGTATCCCAAGTGTTTGTTTAGTGTTTTTTTTTTTATTCCTTCTTTGGTAGATGAGCTTATTCGATGCATTATATATATACACACACCCCCCTTTACATCTTGTAAGTAATCATTGCCTCGTAAACTCGCATAAGATGATACAATGAATGCAAAGACAAAGCATTCCATGTCATACTGTACATATCGACGGCTTTGGGGCGGTATATCGGATACAAAAGGTTGATATATCTATATAATTGATAATTACATTATTATCAAAACTTTGAAAAAAACCATAAAAGGGTAATGGTAAAAAAAGCAGCAGTTTTTGGCATCTCGAGCTCAAACTCAAAAGAGGGGGAGAGTCAGCCATGGAAGGAAAGCATATTGCCCACATAGTCATCTTCATCACTGCTCATCGAATCATTCATCGCCTCATCGTCGTCGTCTTCAGCCTCGGTGAAGATCTCGATCAAACCAGCGCCGCCGTCCAACAGCAACTGCCTCTCTTCCTCCTCCAAATCGCTCGCGCTTTCGTCCTCGTCGTTTTCATCATCGTCGCTGCTAAAGCTATCCTCATCTCCGCTGTCGCTGCCATCACCATCTGGTCCGAGAATAGGGTCCAAGTCACCGTCATCGTCGTCATCTTCATCGTCCCCTTCTTCGTCATCGTCTGTCTCGGCATCATCGGGGTCAGAATCGTCGTCAGTGGGTCGTCTCCTGCCGATCTCGTAGATCCTGGCCGAGGAAAACATTTCTTCCTGGTCGTCCATTGTGAGCAGACCAGTGAAGGAGTCCATCCGTTCCGTCGTGAAGTCGAGGACGCAACGGTCGACGGGTATGGTAGCGATGTCCGAGTAGTTTATGGCATCGAGAGTACGGAATGCGGCGAACAACGGGTGTTTAACGCGTCGTGTGTGAACAGCCGACATCACATCGTCGAGGTTTCTCCTCAGTATCGCGTATATGACATCTCCGCTCGAGTTGAACGTTATCGCCGTTTGGTCCAGCGATGGCACGCTTCGAAGAAGCCTGCAGTTCCTCAGATCCCAGACCTCAGAGTTTATGATCACCTGTACGGGAAAAAAATAATTCAGACAAGTCCATATTCCCAATTTCAGATTCAAAAGATTAACGATTACTCGATACCTCGTTCCCAGAAGGATGAAAACCACCGCCGCCATAATCCGAGAACTGATCAAGGCGTCTTATCGCGTCGGGTACTCGCGGGTCCCACAGAGAACCGTTCCACAGTATCATCGAATCCGAAGGGTTGAAGTGTACGAGAGAATAGGCATGACCTCGAGAAGTAGAGCTGGAGGACGAGTCGGTCAGTTTCATCTCCAACCTGCATGTCTCGACATCGTAGAGAAGGATTTCTCTGTGCGCTTCGCAAGAAAGGGCAGCGAAACATTTGCCTGAGTTGCTGAATCTCGCGGCCTTGCATCCGTCGATAGAGTGAGTAGGCCCACCAGTGACAGAAGAGGCATCCCAGAGCCGTACATCCATGGAGCTCGAAGAAAGTAACAACTGCGACTCACCAGAAACGTACGACTGAACAACCGTAACCGGAGACTGGTGACCGGAGCAACTCTCGAGCACGTTGCCGGAGTTGGAATCAAATATCTTCACCTCTCCAGAGTGACTACCGACCGCTATATGGGAAGAGTCTCCGAGAAACGTAATGCACGTAAACAGGGTGCCCACCTCATCCCGGCAAGTTCTCCAAGGCTTGAATCTGCTGAAAACAAACTGACGATCCCTACGATTTCCATGGACCCCTCCATAGAAACTCTGGAGCTCACGTGTTCCGAGACGGCCCGTGATGTTGATCGGAGCTTCGAGTGCCCGTTTAGGTTCAGAACAGACATGCGGATGCATGAGAGACAGAGGCGGAAGAGTCGTGATGGGAGCGGGGCACTGCCTGTGTTGATGCTTCAAGTACTGAACCACAAGGGAGTCTAGGGTTAAACGTTCAGAATTTGAAGGCTGCGGTAAGTTTGAAAGCTTTTGCTGAGAAGCCGGAGTTATCTGACTCATTCTCGAGCTCCCCGACTGGTCAGCGCCATCTGCAAGGAGAAAACTCCTTCGGAAAGAAATCGGTGTTGGACAAGCTGGAGAACGGGGTCCCAATTCGCCGGTATTGATCCTCTTACCCGAAACTGACAGGCCCGAGTCTTTCAGCTCGGAAAATTTCCGTTTCCTTAGCATTATAACCGGGGTCTTAAACTGAGCGTCCGGGTCAAGACCGGTCTTGGGTGCAGCTGATTCTGCAGGAACTTCCGATGTATCTGCACAAGCAGGGTATGATCTTGAACTGGTACTTAGCTTCGGTGTAAAATGAAGTTGTGAATCATGGGAGAGGAGTTGGTTTCTCAGCTGGAAACTGAAACTCGGGGTAAAAGCTAACTGTTTCCTTTTGGCAGATGAAGCCCGATTGCATCTCGAACCAGGGTCTTCCTCATTTGCACCGACTTTTGGTTTGCTGGTGAAGAAATATCCGCCATTAACACGACCTGAGGGCCATTGTTGTTGAGCCACAGATGTCGATATCTCCTGAGAAGAGGAATATGCAATGGAAGAAGGCGGAGCCAAAGAAGGCAGAGGCATTAACTGAGCCTCCTTTAACAGAGCAGTAGCACTTTTGGAAAGACCAGACGCCTGGAGATGCTCATGAATAAGGAGTAGAAGCTCCTTAGAGTCATACGTTATAGGCGTTGCCGCAGCAATGGCGGCTCTTTCTATGCGTCGTAATGTCGGAGTCGCCGCATCGGTAGCTGTTAATGCAGTAGTGGCACGTCCCGAGTTTGTCACTATCTGCAAAACAGACAACGAAATAAGGAAGATAACTTTTGGAATGGGGTTTAAGCAGAAGAAAGAATCACTTACAGATACGGCATGAAGACAAAAAAAACGATAAGAGATTCTTACCGCAATAAGCTCGAGAGCCACCTGAGCAAGTTCAGCTTGCCATCTGCAGTGTTCCGTTCCACTTTGCCCACCAGAATCTCGAATTAATTCCGAAAGCCTCTTACCGACCTAGAAAACCAAGTTCAGCAAGTCAGTATACTCATCTATCTCACAAACTAGAAAGCCAATGAGAAAGAAAATCCACTGGTTTACCTGAAGTTTAGTCAGTATTTGTGCAATTACATCATCTCGAGCCAAACCCAGAAGGACTCTGCAAGCGAGAGCTCGAAGACAATCGGGGCTAGCAGGAGGGGTAACGTATATTCTGGGCTGAAGAAGATTCAAAAGAATCTTTATACCATTGCTGTTACGAACCGCCTCTCGTGCTAGACAATAAACCTGTTCCAATTGAGCAGCAAGACCAGCAGAACCTGTTCCGGCTCCTAATGATATTCTCCGGTCCCCGACCAATCCTGATGACGGAGTTTGCAAAGCATTGGCAGTGGACTGAGTACCTGCTGAAACATCGGCAGTTCGATCAGAAACATTACGATCTTCCTTTCTTGTCTCGGTTGGGGGTTTGTTGCTGATTGAAGGTGGAGGACACACTAGATTGATTAAGACATTCAGCGCTTGTTGTATGATCTGCAATAAAAAAACAAAACAAAAAAGCAAGGTAATAACAAGATCTCGGAGGAAAAGACGAACTGACACCACCAATATTAAGTAATAAAAATCATGATGATAGAAATGGATTCCTGACCTCAGGGTCCACGATGCTGTTGGTGATATTTGCTGCATCGAGGATGACAGCAATGCCAACACGATTATTGCTCAGATTGGCATTGACGATTGCTTTGCGTACGGCAGGTACAGATGTAGCTATGTGAAGAACACCAAAGGCATACTGGAGCAGGTCATGCAGATAACGATCAACCGGTGGTGTCTGCACATAATATGAACAAAAGGGTTAAACCATATGGGGCAAATAAAACGAAATAGCCTGAGAATACGATGTAGATTATTATTACCTGACACAACTCCAACATGGTAACATGTCCGGAAGAGGCCAAAAATTTAATGACCGCAGGCCAGTGAGTACGGACAAAGGCAGGACCCAACTTCCTATCCTTTTGTAACTGAAGAAAGACAGTATCTATTGCTTCATTGCTGATGTCTAGCGGTTTATACGCAGCCCGTATATTGGGAACATTTCGTACACCACCTCGGCTACTTTTGTTAGGTCGGATGGAATCCACGAGTAAAAGAAGACGAGCCCTAAAATATTGGCGCAAAGCAAAACAGGTATGAAAAGCCATCTGTTTCTCTGAAGATGTCATGACTTCAGGAGCTGACCGGTCAGAATTTGCACCGGTCCTAACCGAGGCAGCATCTTTAAGAATCCCAAGGAACTTCTGCAAACCATCCTGAGCATCAAATGCATCTAGAATGGCTCTGAAGACAAAAGCAGCAGCGAAGAATAAGGATCCGTTTTTTCTGGCTTGATCCTGGGAACATTCTAGAAGCTGGATAGCTAATTCAACCACCTGATGGATGACATCTGATGGGAGAGCACAGACACGTTCCATGATCCCCTGAAACGTAATATATGGATATTAAGAAGCATTGGTTACGAGATCAAAAGAAAAAAAAAATCAGATTTTTATTTAGAAGTCATGCAAAGTTTGATGCTTCCTCTTTACCTGAAGAGAGCCTATGGTATATAAGCACGATGAAAGACCAAAAAATGTCTCATTAAGCCTTGGAACAGCAAGTAGCTTCTGTATTCCACCTCGGTCAACAAACATTGCAGCAAATTTCCGGTGTGCAGCCAAAGCACAAATTAACTTCATAACATCAGGCAACAAAGGTGAGACCTTTGACAATTTACCGCATTTGGAATTGCGTTGCAGCAGCATAATGCAGACATCAACCCCTTTTTCATGTAGTACCGGCCCAAGAACCTCAACATATTCTCCTAATATCTCAAGGCACTGAATGCAATATTTCTCCTGTAACTGGGCCAAGGATTCAGTATCCGGAAGTGAAACTTCCTTGACATCCTCAGCTGCTCGGGTTTCCTCCCTATTTGGATTTGTAGTCCGCTCTGAAGTGACGCAACTGGAGGTCCTGCCACCCAGCCAGAGTTAAAAGCCTTAAATTATCATCCCAGTAAATAGAAGCAACTCTAATTCAACAATCGAAAGTTTGTGCAACATGATTATTCGCAAAGGCGTAGCATCACTGACCTCGAAGCTTCAGTCGCAATGGCAGCATCTACGACAGTCGAAGCGGCTCGAGAAGCAGTAGAAACAGCAGCTTCTTCATTGCCGGAGGCCTTGAATTCCTGGATAATTAAACATGAAAGGTTAACATACATAAATCAGAGATTATGTACATGACAGAAGACATAGAAATCACTGTAATCCGAATGAAATGATAACATGCCTCCAAAGCAGCAGTTTTAACAAGTTCAGCGGCAGCATCACCAGCAGCTTTGACGGCATCAGCAGGAGCATTGGCAGCTCTAGCTTCTGCTTCAGCAGCTCCAACAGCTTTCTTCACTAAATTAGTTACGTCTATAGTTCCAACAATGCACCCTTGAAAACACTCATCATTCTCCTCTCTTTCTTCGTACACAGCACCAGTGTTCATATTTCCCTGACTTCTTCTCCTTTCTTCTGTGATTTTCGGATCTGAAATTTTAGACAGACCTCTCTCTCTGACAACCCGACGACAATCTGATCCAGGAGACGCAAATGCAACATCATTATCGGCTGTGCCTTCATTAACCCTACCTCTACCCTTGGTTTTTGACCGGTTGAGCCTGCGTTTTGAGGGATCCTCTCCTCCACAATCATCATCCCCAGGTTTCACTTCACCACCCGAGATATCCCATCTTTCCCCACAATCACTATCCGCCCCGCCATCACACCTAGCATCAGATTGTCCCATCTCTCTGCCCATATCCCTCTCAGCAGCATGATCATTTGAGTTTCTGTCATCCAGCACCCTCGCAGCATCAACTTGAGCTGTATCCACCAGCTTCCGCACCCGACTCCGAGCTTCTTCCTTTTCTTTTAGTGATATATGCTTGGGATCCTTAGAGTGAAGGGCCTCTTTCCGGTTCGTGCTTGTCTCCCCAATCACCCTTACTCGAAGATAATGCATCAGCTTGGCAGATAAACCCGACGTCAAGGCATCTTCCACAAGTTGACCACCACTACAAAAACACAGGTAACAGGTTAGGCTTCAGCAACCAGATCAACCAAAGAAGGACAGGAGACTAGTCGGAGGAAAATCAATACCTCTGCAAAGATAGAGCAAGAAGTCCTGTAGCATAAGTCTTTAACATTTCAGAATCTGACACTTCCTTCCTGCCCGGGTCTTCACCCGGAAATTTGACATCTTCATTCATGACCCAACCTTTAAAATTCTCCGAAACAGTTTCATCGAAAACATGGGGATACTGAAAATAAAATAGTACAATCAACCAACCAAACAGCCAAAACCAAGAGATAGAAACAAGAATATCACAAGTTCTTACCATCCAAGTAAGGGAACAATTCAGTAGCAGCCTTGCAGAGGCCGCATGTACCGCTGTAGAGTAAGTATTCTCGGAAAGAAAAGTTGACGATATCAGTTCGAAGAAGTCGTCATTATCCTGCCAAAAAGGAAGTACTGAATTGCCCCTCCCCAAAAAAAATGATAACTTGCTAAAGAAACAACGAGCAACGTCTTAAAAGACAATGTTCCATACCCTTATAAGGTTACACAACTTGCCAATATTATGACTACCACGGCCATTGGAAGAAGAGTTCGCATTTTCCGCAATGTACCTGTAAGAACAAATATCATCGTCAAGCTAACACCAACTACGAAGCAACAGAACGAGAGAAAGAGACAGAGAGAGAGAGATATACAGAGACTCCTGCGATTCGAGGAGATTGCTAAGAGCATGGAGAACAGCAGGACTAGGGTTATTAGCAGTGGAAGTGATCTTCTCTATAAGCCTCTGTGCTTCATCCATAAGCTCATCATCCACGCTCCTCCTTTCTCGCTCCTGTTCTCTTCGTTGTTCCTCGACGGAAGCTTCTCCTGACGCCTCCGGATCTTCCGCCGCCGGATTACGAACCTCAGCTTGCCCACGCCCGTCCATTATCGCTTCGATTCCAATGGACAAAACTGGGGAAGACGATCAATCCGAACTCCAACACCAGTAGAATTTGGGTCGAACGATCGCGACAATTCGAGAGGGGCGAAAAAAAAAAGCTGGCAGGGAGATATGTCGAGCTCTTTATGTATGTCAGGGGAGCGGTGGAGGCGGTAGATGGAGGCGACAAAAGCCGAGAGACGGTGGTCGGTTTCTTTACGATCCGACCCGACCCGGATTCTGCCCCTGAAACCCTAGCCCATCTCACGTTATAGACCCAATAAGATTCAGCCCATATTTAGGCCCAAACCGAAATGATACAAAACGGAGCGTTTAATTGTCCCGATCAGAATACGGGCCTTCACCCGCGGCCCGACAAGACATCTCGCCGTCGATTTTCGTCCCCGGTGACGAACGGTCCCACTAAATGGAAGGCGCAGGAGATTCCGGCGGATCTGCGTCGGAAAGTCAGCTCGAGAGCTGGATAGAGTAGGTTTATCATGAGTTCTACATCGAATCCGGTAATTGTTGGATCGTTGATTTGATTCAAGGGTTTTTGTTTTCCAGAGAACAGGATCGGCTGAAGAAGAAACTGATCATGTACGATGACTTCCCATGGAAGATATCATCGTCTTCGCCATCCATGGATCATTCGGATTCGGATAAGTTGAAGTACATTGGAGGTGTGGACATGAGCTTCTCCAAGGAAGATTCTTCCGTCGCCTGCGCTTGCCTCGTCGTTCTCGAGCTCCCTTCTCTGCGTGTAGTCTACCATGACTTCTCTCTCCTCCATCTCCGTGTTCCTTATGTCCCTGGCTTCCTCGCTTTCCGTGAGGTTCTTATCAATCTTCTTCTTCGTCGTGTCTTCAATCTTCTCATCATCGTCAAACGCTGATCCAAATATGGGTTTCATATTGCAGGCACCTGTTCTACTGCAGCTTCTGGATAAGATGCAAAAAGAACAGAACCCGTTTTATCCGCAGGTTTAAAGGTTTTGTTTTTCAGTTCTGCAATGTTGATTTCTGTGATTAGTGCATGGTTTTCTGAAAGTCTAGTGCTTTGCCATTTTGTTCAACACAAAGGTACTGATAGTTGATGGAAATGGGATACTTCATCCACGAGGTAATGCATAATACATTGAATAAACGATCGAAGGTCTCAAGCTCTGTAACTTATGGTGGAGAATCTATAAATGTCTTCTCCAGGATTTGGCTTGGCATGTCACTTAGGTGTTCTAGCTCATCTCCCTACTATTGGGGTCGGAAAGAATGTGAGTTTTGTCTCCATCTTGCTCTTGGGTCCCCTCACTTGTTAACATATCAAAAGGTCCCGATCACTTCTATGGATTATCCATTTGTTTTTGTATCGTTTCAGCTGCATCATGTGGACGGTCTGAAGCAATCTGAGGTCAGACAGCTACTTCAGCTCAAAGAGAATCAAGATGAACAAGTTATCAACTTGGTCGGTAACTCAGGGTTTACATGGGGAGTAGTAAGTGGCTTTGCTTGGACAGTTTGCTCCTGTTCAAGACAGAAATTAATTGTAAAGTATAAATGCCTGTTCGAGTTTTAGGTTCAGACATATCGCAAGTTCCTCTCTTACAGGGAATTAGACCAACCTTGAGTTGTCTGAAGCCTATATACGTGTCGGTTGGCCACCGCATATCACTCGAGACTGCAGTTAAGATCGTTATGATGACATGCAAGTATCGTGTTCCAGAGCCTATTAGACAGGTAAAATGTACAGTTTTGTTTAACAAGAACATGTGGATACTTACTGATACTTGTTCTATCAATTAAGATGAAAAGGGTGAAATATACAACAGGGTCTCCAAAGAAATAATCTAATGCTCGTGTATGCAGGCTGATATGAGATCAAGAGAATATCTCCAGGAGCATCAAATGAAAGTTTTAGAAGAACACGACCTTCCAGACCAGGTGTCAATCTATTCTATATGGCCCTGGCTGTTGGTTCTTTTCCTTCTTAACCCAATGACATAAAGAACTTTAAACTAGCTCACGTGATAGCGTCTACTTTGTTCATTTTGCAGCCCGAGCATTAGCCATTGTGCCGAGAACCAAAGAAGGCGACATGACTCTTTGGAGTTCAATGCAAATTTTTATGAAATTTTAACCCCAAATTCTTGGACGAATGCTGGTTTGGCATATGAAGCCACAATGCTGTACAAACATTTGCTACAATGTCGTCTGGACAAGTCTGAACCAGTGGATGCATACAATACAGAATTCAGGATTCTCAATTCTCTTAAATCTCCATAAACAGCAAAGCATAAAAAGAAAAAGAAAAATCAACTCAGAAGACCTCTCACTTGTCTTGACATTCACAGAACGATATACGAGCACATCAACAAGAGCAGCAGCATCAACTCAGCTGGTTGGGTTAGAGGTGCAACACTGGCTTTGCTACCACCAGCTACTGGTGTTTCTGCTTGGATCATTATTCTGAATTTGCAATCTCCTACAGAAGGATCGGTGTTGGAGATCACAGAGAGGCCAGGGAACTTACACGCGCTGTCGAGCTGATCGCTTATCTGGTAATAGCTGTTGAAAGCGTAGGAAATGTTCTGCCTTGCGTCAAGATTACCACAAGAAGAGCCATAACCGAGACTCGTGCAATCAGCGTGTGAACATGCATAGCTCACACTCGGTGCCATTTGAGGGTCATCGAGATTTGCCGACGGTGACAGGACACACCATTTCCGAGCCAGGTAACGTACTTCCTTTGCCGGGACCAGCCCATTCGCATTGGTTCCACCGAGGCTGAGCCCATACTTGGCCTGCCCATCAAAGTAGAACAGTCCCCAGTGTCTTTCAAAGTTCCCAGGCTGAATGCTTTTGGCATCTTCATCAATCAAGCTGAACAAGTAAACATCCATTGATCCGGGTCTCATTGGAGTTCCTTTACCAGCTTTCTGACGGTTCAAGAACCCTTGGTTGAACCGCCGTGCATACTGCAAGTTTGCGTTCTTGTCCCCATCAGTTGGCCACCCGATTTCCCCGACGATGATGGGCATGTTCCCGAATCCGTTCTTCTGCAACGCCCACACGAGGGTATCGTGGTTTGCATCGAGAACATTGTCATAGGCTCGTCCATTGTCATTTATAGGTGCAGAAGCGCCATCAAAGAAGGCAAACTCCACTGGGAAATTCGGGTCGTTGTAGAGGCTGATGAAGGGATAGATGTTGATGGTTAACGGAGCCTGGTTATCACTCAGAAACTTAACGATCTGAAGCATCAGGTCACGGATATCGGGTCTGAAGTCGCCTTCTGAGGGGAGGTTGGATGTACTCTGATATACATCGGCGTTAAGGGGCACGGTTACCTTCACCTGAGTCGCTAAACCGGCTTTTATGAGAGCTGATTGGACATTCTGGATAGCAGGAAGAGTTGTTGTGAGGAATGTTCCGTTGAATGTCTGCAGAAAAGGCTCGTTGCCAACTGCTACATACCTAATTGCCAAGAAATTTCAAAAGAAAACACATTCAGCTTACTTCAATCTTCATCAGAGCACCATCTTTCCGACAGAAGCCGGAACTAGTTCTGTCTTAAGAGACAGACCCACAGAAAAAAAAGGTTGCAAGTTCGACGAAACCTGATGTCGACGCCATTGGAGGAGACGTGAGAGGACACATTCTGAGCGACCCATCTCTCGGCGGCTTCAACACTTCCGGCAAGAGAAGCGAGCATATCGTTAGGGATTCCGACCATAACCTGAATCCCCGACCGACTAAGCGCCTTGAGGATCGCCGCGTCTGCTTCAAAGAGCTTCACTTTTTGGAAACCGTTCTCACGGAGAAGCCTCACCACCGTCGCCGGAGGAAGAGGGTGAGTCGCCTGAGTTCCCCAGTTCACTCCGATGCCTCCGACACAGACCCACCAGTTTCCGTACAACAAAGTACCGATGACGAAGAACACAGCCACTCCTTTGGACAACATCGGATCAAACCCAGAAGGAAAAAAACAACTTTTATGGTGAGAGCGAGCTCTGATCAGTGAGAGATTTCGTGGGAAGCTTCGGTTTGACTAGGAACAGAGATGGGTTTTGAATCTGATAGCTCAATCGTCAGAGTATCAGAAACCAGACTGATCCTGAATATTACTGTTATTGCTATTTTTTGGTGGATTCAAGAAGAAGAAGAAGAAGAAGTTTTGAGGGAAAAGGAAAGAATAAGAAAGCAGATAAGCTCGAGACGGAAATCTACATGAGCTTTTGCCGGAAATCGAACATGGAAACGCTTACCTTTATCGTCTGTTCATGTCTGAAAGGCAAGTGCTCTGATTGGAACTCCAGACCAGAAAAGCGATAAAATATAATACGATGGAAATAAATAAATAAAATAACAAAATGCTCCGTTTGGTCTTCAACAAAATAATATTAGTATGTTTACATCATTTGATAAATCATTTTGAGATTGCATTAAACAGATCATTGCAAATTAATAGTTGTTATTGAATCATAAAAGAAAATCAAATAAAAAGGAAGAATCTTTAAAGTTTGTGGGAATGGGTTATGTCGCGATGCTCCCCTTATTCAAGTCAAAAGCCAACGAATGGAAAATAATTTTAAAAGACACACAAAATTAAATTAGTTTTTTAAAGCTATTCGATTAAAAATTAAATTACTTCCAACTAGAGATTCAATTCCAATATTCTATTAATATATAAATATTTATAATGTTTACTAATTTATTTTAAATCCCAATTATTTTATTCGACCGCCGGAATTCAAAACATGACAAAGCTAAAGTTACTATTCAAAATACACCGTACATGCTGCGGTGTGATTAGAAAATCAAGACCCAAAAAAAAAACTTCAAAATTCTCATACAATTTTTTCCTAAAGTTGCGTATTTGACCAATTGCAAAGTTTAAATCAATTATTTTCGACGAGATATTAGTGTAACCATATGAATTCGATGTTGGATATAAAACTCTAAATCCATATTATATAGATTAAAAAATAAGATGATTTGGAATTTTTGGATATAGAACTGTATTTTGGGATCATGCTGATCCCTCCTCGGTCCGAACATTAAGACCTCTCGTTAATGGTAGGCCCATTAAGAAGCAGGCCTAAATGGGCCCTCACAATTATCCACATTCATCCGTTTCTAATTTGTTAACAAAATCCGATAAAATTATCAAATAAATATACAGATCAAAGAAAATTTTCCAAATTCACAAAATCAACTAAAATGGTCATATATATATATATATATATATATATACACACACATATGCATATCTAACGTTTACAAATTTTATGAAATAAAAATTCCATAAAATAAAAAATATATAGGTTTAGTATTTCTTTCTACGTAATTAAGAGAAGATATTCTTCATATATATTTTGATTAGTTTCCACATTTATTTTGGTAATTTTATTGTAGTTGATGAATTTTAAAATTTATATATAAATATCTTAACTTTTAAAAATTGTGCCATTTTAATATAGATATATGTAATTTGATACAATTGATCTTATAAATATTAAAATATTTCAAATCGATATTAATTATAAATTTTTTATAAATATCAATGATCTGTATATATAAATTATCAGAAAAATATTTTTTTAATGACGAATCATATGGTCGTGATATTTGCAATAATTTATCGAAAATTTTCAATAATTATTATGATTCAGTGTTAGAAATTATCTTTAATTTTATAAATTACGATATTAATTTAGAATATTTTAATATTTAGGAAAATTAAAAATTTATATACTTATTTGTTTAGTTTTGAAAAATCGAGGTGGATTTTTCCTTAAATAAATTATTGAATAAATACAGAAGATTCACAATCCAAAGTCAACAAACAGAATCTTAAAATAAGATTACCCTCGTAAAGTGTGTTTTTATACTCAAAATCCACCGTTCTTTGTTCGCTTCTGCGATCGCAGACTCGTCTCCTCCGGAAGTATCTTCCTTTACTGTTCGTTGATCGCTTTCGTTTTCATCTCCTCAACCTTGAATCGGTGTTCGATCCGACAATTTTTCTTGTTTCATAAATTTTTTAGGTGACTCGCGTGATTGGTGGATGACCTAAAAGACGAAGGAGAAGAGGAAAAAAAATGGCGGTTACTATGAGACAGATGTCGCTGATCGTGTCTGCTTTTGGCGTCCTGTCGTTTTTGTTCGGAGTGATTGCAGAGAACAAGAAGGTATGATCTGTTCCGTTTGCTCGTTTTTTAACCTAATTTCGTTCGGTATTGTCGTCATATCTCCTCGATCCTCTACTGTGGGTTCGTCTGTTGTTTCGTGTTTGTGTTGGATAATCTACATTGTTGCTTGTGGTTTTCGTTGTTCATTTTTCTGGATTCATGGAAGTTGGGAGCTATTGCTGTGTAGGGCTTTCAGAGAATTTGATTAAACATTCATGTTATTGCTTAATCCATGATAACGGTTCTGGAAAAAAAAAACGCTGAGATGAAACAGCTATAAGCACTAGATTCCTGAGAAACGTTGGGACTTCGAATAGGGCTCAGCTTTGTTTATGTGATCAATTGCGTTATATAATCTAGAAGAAAGAGATTGTTTGATCATTCATTATCTGAGGGGCGAATTATCAGTTGTTAAACCTGGTCACTAATTAAATTTGATGCTAACCTTTAAAAGATAAGACTCGAGAGTCTGATCACCCACCACCAGGAGATTCAAACAAAGCAAATAGTGATTGGTTGAACATGGTGTTTTCAGTCACTTGCAAATCAATATCTTCCTATGGTTATCAAGCGCTCTTCTCTGAAGCACCATCCTGTGCTCTCTCTCTATCTATCTATATATATATGTATATATGAGTTCTGTCTCTATTATGGATTTGTAACACAGCCTGCAGCTGGTACGCCGATAAGCGGAAAGGGGGTCGTTATCTGCAAGTACCCGTCTGATCCGACTCTTGCCTTGGGGTATCTATCTGTTGTCTTTCTTGTGGCGAGTACTGCGGCTGGGTACAGATCCTTGTTCATGTCTTACAAAGGAAAGTCTGTTCCCTACTCCGTCTTGTTCAAAAGCACCAGTTTCTCTGTGTTCTTCAACATTGCCCTGTAAGCAAATCTCTTTTCCCGACTTGTTTTAGTTTCAACAATGTACATAGAACACGATTCTCTGCACCCGAGGATCTTATTGTGTTTGGATAGAAAGTGTTGTCCTCAACGATGCACCAGTCTTAAATTCGATTTCACTAGAAGAATGTTGTTCCTTCCAAAATAAAAGATTGAAGGAAGTTTGATAGCCTTTGCATTCTGAAATAATAAAACAAATCAAAACTAACAATTTGGTTTCTTGTACATAATAAATAAATCATGTCGAATTTGGTGTTTAAGATTCGTTTAAGTGCCTGAATTCTCTCGCAGGATAACATCCGGACTGGCTTTGTCCCTGTTGCTGTGGCCAACACTCACCGAGCATTTCCATTTGACCCGCAACGTCCACCGCAACATGGAGACCAATTGCCCGACGGCCAAGACGGGTCTACTGGGCGGCGGTGCCTTCGTGTCGTTGGACTCGTGTCTCTTCTGGCTGGTTGCCCTTATGCTCGCTGATAATGCCCGGGAAGACCATTTCGATGAAATCGAAGGCAGAAGCAACGGTTCAAGGGACGTGGATGTCAAGATTGACACTTGAGCATTATTAAGCCTACTGGTTTGGTTAGGGAAATAAAATAGTAAACTATCTCTTCTAGTTTAACTCTGAGTTATTACAGTATCTGCTAGTGCTAGCTTTGTTTCTGTTCTGAACTCGTATAAGATTTGCTTTGATGCTCCCACATCAACTATATCCAATTTCTGGTTTCGGTCTGGTTATTTTCGTATTTGATTTTTCATAGAAAAGTTATATCCATTCGATTTGGATTCATTTTGTGTTTAATTTTCTTTCTTTTCTCGGTTATTTTTATATTTGATTTCGATTTGGTGTGAATTCTATTTTAAAAAATTTTATACGACTGTTATATTGATTTTGGTTCATATACCGCTATATATTATTTGGTTCGATCAAATCGATTTCATGGTATAATCGAACCGAAATACCTTTAAATTGTTTTGAAAATTGATTTTTAAATATTAGCATTGGATAATTTTCCAATATATCAATTATTAAGTTATACAATAATACATCGAATTAAGATAAATTTCCTATTTTAATTACTATGGTATCCGGTTCGGTTTGGTACAATGATGTTCGGTTCGGTTCGAGATATGCAGTATATAATGGGCCGGCTGGAGATATGTAAAATGGGCCTAAGATCTCAAAGCGCACCATATAATCATGATCGAGGTAAACCCTGCCAAAACCCTTGGTCTTCGTCTTGGTCGACCAAGCTTACATTTCAGGTTTTGATCGTCGAGAGAGAGAGAGAGAAAATGCCGCTCGGAGAAAGAGGAGGTTGGGAGAGGAGCGAGTCTAAGTACTGTGGCGTGGAGACAGACTTCGACGACGATGTCCCTTCTCTTCTCTCCTTCAATATCTCAACCGGTGGCTTCGATTACGTCCTCGCTCCTCTGGTCCCATTCTTTCCCTTCTTCTTCC